CCAATCGGACTGATCTAGAAGGATGCACATATCTCCACAACATGTGCCGGGAAGGATACAACGACCGTCGAGTCGAGAAATTCTTTTCGATTTGCGAAGACGCGGGGAAGGAGTTGCGGATCGACGCCAGAGACAATCGTGGCAATTCGCCGCTGCAGTGGGCCCTGCGTTGCGAACACACCAATTTGGCGCATTTATTGCTGAGGAGAGGCGCCGATCCTAACATTGCCGACGAAACGACGTTGACGCCGCTTCACTTGATCACTCTGGGACGAGACGACTACGACTTGATGGAGACGCTGCTCCGAGCTGGTGCAGATCTCAATTTGGCCGATGCGATGGGAGCGACGCCTGTGCACCTCGCGTGTCGACTGCTCAAATGGGACTGGGTGACGACATTCTTCAAAATCAGTGACATTATCGAGCGGCCGGTGCTAATCAACGCCCAGGACCACATGGGTAATACAGCACTGCACTTGGCATTGGCATTCTCAGCGAAAATCAATTTTGTCGTGTCGCTTCTGAGACGAGGTGCGGATCCAAACTTGGCCAACGTAGAGGGATGGACACCTTTTCACTGTATTTTCAGGGGATACTGGAGCGAAGCCTTGCTGGAGGCATTTTTCAAGGCCTGCGACGAAGAGAACCGAACGGTTAACGTCGATGTCGTGTACGAATCGGGTTGTACGCCCCTGCAACGGGTAGTGACGTATCTGCTTCCTAAATCCGTCGATTTACTCTTGAATCATGGTGCCGATCTGTCTAGCTTCGTTTTTCCCACTGAGAAGGATTTCCAAGTGATAGATCATCGTCATGTACATCGTTTGAATTTTAAATTGCAAGTGGCATCTGCTCTGATGATGATTGTCGACAGTCTCGAAGATAAAGGATACGATCTGCAATTTGGAGATGCCTTGACGATCATGAAATTATTCGATAACTACGGATTACTTGAGGAGTCAGCGACGGAGAAGGAACTCGTTGAAAAATGTTGCCAAACTGGAGGATATGAAGAAGAAAACGAGATAAATAATGTGAAAGAAATAATGATCAAACCAAGTCTGTCTCTCCGCGACTTGATCCGGTCACGACCCGAAGAGGCGGCAAAACTACTCACGTATTCGGATTACTTCGAGTTTGCAAACTCGTATAGCTTAGGGGGGTTACCGGAAATGTGTCAGGAAGCTTGTGCTCGGAATCTGTGCGAGAAACTATCGAGAGGATTTTTCCGGTCATGGGCCCTGTATCCTTTCTGGGACTTGATGCACCATCGACTGCCTCTTGAGATGTGTGAACTGATCATCAAGGGATTATCGAACAAAGATTTATTCAATATTTGCTTGGCGGCTCCAGATCGAAGCTCATGATGGCAATACGACGATATTTTTTGTATTTTTTCATGTTCAATGTAATCAAGTTTTATTAATTTTTCATATTATCCAAATAAATTTATAAAAAAAAGTTTTGATTTTTCTATTGATGAGCACACAATCATTTAAAGACAACCCATTAACCCATCAAATTTTGTATTTATCATCATGGAATATTACCGAGATCTTGTACTACTTATACACACAACTCGAAAATATAATTATAAGAAAATACTATATAGAAAAATTCAAATTCTCAAAAAAAGCGAGAGTGCTCGAAAAGTCATATGCGAGGCGATCAGTACAACTCGAATAATCGAATACTCTATAATAATCAATGAAGAGTTGCATTAAAAAATTTCTGACCCTATCACTCTTTCTCTATTAAAATTAACATTAAATATTAAATATTAAAATTTTTATTGTATGACTCAAGGTAACCGGAAGCTTTTTTGAAGTAATTAATGTTAAAAGACCAAAATAAATTCCCGGAGAAATCGTCACAAAGTTAGAATTTCAAATCATTTAAAATGTTGTAAGGTTAATTTACAAACAGATAAATTGGTAACTTAATTGTCAACAGTATGCTTACAAACGATTTAGAACTGGTTTCTTCGAGCACTGATTATGTTCATGTTTATAGTAAAATCAAATAAGTTCGAAAATCGAGCTATAATAAAAGAAGATAAATATTACTCATTAATTTCCGTGGCTCTAAATACAAGGTTAATCCATCGTTTAATTAAGTCACCAAAATGGATAAAAGTGATAGACAATCCGAGGGAAATGTCTCAGAACAAAATTTAAGTGAACACGACATTGTGGTTTCAGATGACCAAAAATACGTTTGCGATATTTGTCCGGAGGCATTTGCACAAGAATCAAGTATGTTATCACATCGAAACACAATTCACAATGAACAAAAAGATTACTCATGTGACAAGTGCGAGAAGAAATTTGAGTTCCGAAGTCATTTGAGTAGACACCAAATATCAGATCACAGAGGCCTTAATAATTATGCATGCGACAGATGTGAGAAGAAATTTGTGAAACAGTCGAGTTTGTTTACTCACCAAAAATTAGTACACAAAGATCGCGTAGATTTTTCATGTGAAAAGTGCGACAGGAAATTCGAAAATAAATCAAGTTTACTCAAGCACAAAAAAATATTCCATGAAGTTTTCAAAGATTATTTGTGTGAAAGATGTGCCAGGAGATTTGGAAATAAACATATTTTGATCAAGCACATAAAGACAGTGCACGAAAAGCATGAGAAGAACGAGAAAGTCCACGGTTGCAATGATTTTGCATCCGACAAATGCGGGCAGAAATTTAGAAAAAAACGGTCCTTGCTCTGCCACCAAAAGACAGTACATCGCGTTCTCAGAGATTACTTATGTGACAATTGTGAGAAGAAATTCACACGAAAATGGGGTTTGCTCTTGCACCAAAAAACAGTGCACGAGAGTCGCAGAGATTATAAGTGTGACAAGTGCGAGAAAAAATTTGGACACAAATCACATTTCTTGCAGCACCAAAGGACGGTACATGAAAGTTGCAAAGATTTTGCATGTGATAAATGTGAGAAGAAATTTGGACGAAAAGCTGATCTGTTCGTGCACCAAAACACAGTCCATGAAGGTCGCAAAGATTACGCATGCAACAAGTGCGATAAAAAATTTGGACACAAGTCGAATTTGTACGGTCATCAAAAATCAGTCCATGAAGGTCGCAAAGATTACGCGTGTGAAAAATGCGAGAAGAAATTTGGGCAACGAAGCAATTTGAACAAACACCGAAAAACAGTTCACGAAGGATGCAAAGATTTTGCTTGCAACAATTGCGAAATAAAATTTGGAGCTAAAAGAGATTTGTTCGTGCACCAAAACACAGTCCACGAAGGACGAAAAGATTACGCATGTGAAAAATGCGAGAAGAAATTTAGCCGTAAACGGAATTTACTCGACCATCATAAAGCGGTACATGAAGGTTGCGTTATAGATTACACATGTGACAATTGTGAGAAAAAATTTACACAAAAATCGAGTTTGCTCTATCACCAAAGAATAAGCCACGAAGGTCAGAGAAATTTCCCATGTAACAAATGCGAAAAAAAATTTGGAAAAAAAAGTATTTTGCTCTCGCACACAAGAACAGTCCATGAAGGTCGCAAAGATTTCGCATGCGATAATTGCGAAATAAAATGTGGGACTAAATCAAATTTGTTGAAGCACCAAAGAGTCGTACATGAAGGACGAAAAGATTATTTATGTGGCAAATGCGAGAAGAAATTTGGACGAAAAACTGATTTGCTCGTGCACACAAGAACAGTCCATGAGGGTCGCAAAGATTTCGCATGCGACAATTGCGAAATAAAATTTGGAACTAAATCAGATTTGTTGAAGCACCAAAGAGTCGTACATGAAGGACGAAAAGATCACTTATGTGGCAAATGCGAGAAGAAATTCGGACGAAAAGCTGATTTGTTCGTGCACCAAAAAACAGTCCATGAAGGTCGCAAAGATTTCACTTGCGACAAGTGTGAACAGAAATTTACACAAAAGAAGAGTTTGTTCGGCCACCAAAAGACAGTCCACGAAGGTTGGAAAGGTTACGCATGCGACAAGTGCGAGAAGAAATTTGGACACAAACCGCATTTGCTTATCCACCAAAAAATAGTCCACGAGGGTCGTAAGGATTTTGCATGTGACAATTGCGAGAAGAAATTTGGGGCTAAACTAAATTTGAGAAGACATCAAAAGACAGTTCATGAAGGTCAAAAAGATCGCGTGAGCAGAAATTTGGAAATAAATCAGATTAGCTCAAACACCTAATGTAAATTCACGAAGATTGCAAAGATCAAGTAAGCTACAACTTCGGGAAGAAATGATATTGACTATTGTAAATATATATGGATATTTATACATATGTTTTTTCTAAAATATTAATAAAAATTGTGCCGAAATGATTGTATCTAACTTGAACTTCACGCGCTACCAATTAAACTTTTGTTCACTGTCATGATGGTGCTGTTTTTTTGTCTACTTGGTTACCCGCAGCTCTTCAAGAAACGATCATGCGAGAGTTTTTTTCACATCTTGTTTGGAACTGGATTTTTGATAGAACTCACGTAATAATATCGCGATTTTGGTAGACCGTTAATTTCTGCTAAAAGAAAAATGATCGGTAAGTGATTTAATTTAAACCAAAATAATTGTTCCTTTTCATAGTGGTTTTATCAATCAAAAATTTTATATCGAAACTCTTCAAATCGCACGAGCGATAAATGAAATTTCGCTCGGGCGGGCAGCTCTTTTTCTAATCCGCCTCTGTTAGCATCGGAAGCGGCCGATTCGTTGCTACACGCGCGCATTGTTTTCGATCTCTTTTCGATCGCGAGCGGAAACGGACTGCAATTAAAATCTGTATTTATTGACTATAAGCTTGGATACACGTACAACAAGCGCTACACTATAATATAAGCGCTCTATACATATACCGAGCAGTTTTCAAATCAAATTCAACGATCATCGGCGTATGTGTAATATACAGCGGCGAACAAAGATATCACGCACGCTGTACAGAATCATCGGTAGCAGCGTGTATATACACAGATCGTATTGTCTCGAGTTTTATTATGTATCGTTAAGCGACCGCGACTCGTTGCTGCTGCTGCTGCTGCTGCTGCTGGCCCCAATCGGATTTTATGACGTCGGCCATCTTTTCAGCCACTGCGATCGTCGGTATGTTCAGATGGGCTCTCGGTATGATCGGCATGATCGAGGCGTCGACTATGCGCAGCTTCTCCACTCCCTTCACCTGTTGTGCGGTACACGCGTCGATAAGATCAAAATCAGAATTCATTCAATGACGTATACACAGTTCAACGGTACGGTATATAAATACTGACTCGTAATTTCGTATCGACGACGGCCGAGCTGTCACCCGCGGCGCCCATCTTGCACGTGCCCGAGAAGTGCCAGTAGGGCAGCGAGAAGGTCCTCAGCGAGCACTCCCAGTAGGCGTCCGAGTCGGGCGCGTGCGACTCGCATCCGGGCGTCGTGTAGTTCCACAGCCTCGAATCAATCTTCCGCATTGCCCGGGTGCCGCCGACCTCCAGCACCTTCCTTATGGCCCGGATCGACTGCTTCACGTCGTCCCGATGCGACAGGTAGTTCGGATAAATGCGCGGCTTGGCGCGCGGGTCCGCCGAGCGCAGCAACAGCCTGCCCCGACTCTTGGGCTTCAGCAGCACGGGCCAACCGAGCCAGCCGTGCTTGTACAGAATCTTGCCGAAGGCCTGCTGGTAGTACGTCTCGTTCATGTTGAAGGACTTGTGCAGCAAGTAGGTGCTGCCGAAGGTCACGGCGCCGAGGATGAACTCGACGCTGGGCGCTTTGTCGGCGTTCGCCGGCTCGTCCAGGTCCAGCAGGCCGAGAGCCTCGACGCCGATGGGCGTCGACAGCCAGCCCTGGCGACGCGTCAGATAGCTCGACAGCGTGGGATCGCTCGGGCGCAGCGCCTCGGGTATCACCAGGCTGTCCGTCTCGTTGGTGAGATAACTGATGCCCGTGTAGGTGAAGTGATCCTGGAGATTTTCACCGACGCCGGGAGAGTCGAGGATCGCTCGGATGCCGAGCGAGCGCAGATGCTCGGCCGGACCGATGCCCGACAGCATCAGCAGTTTGGGCGTGTTGAGGGCGCCCGCGCTCACGATCACCTCGCGGCGCGCGTACACCCTGAGCTTGCGGCCGCCACGCTTGACGAACTCGACGCCTCGGGCCTGCAGCAGCCCTGGAGCTGATTTCTCGTCGATCAGTATCCTCGTGACTAGACTGTCCAGACTGACCTTGAGATTCGGCCTGTCCCTGGCCGGATGCAGATAGGCCCGATTGGCGCTCAGCCGCTCGCCGTTCACCTGATTCGTCTGCATGTAATTGATGCCGAACTGCTGACGGCCGTTGTAGTCGCGGGCCCGCAGTCCGAGCTCCTCGCCGGCCTCGACGAATAGTCGAGAAAGCGGAGACTTGTAGGGTATGTCGGTGATTCGAACGGGTCCCGTGAAGCCGTGCAACTCAGGCTCGATCGGTGCTACTTTCACGTCGTTGCGCTCGAGCTTGCGGAAGTACGGAAGCATTGATTCGTAGGACCAAGAGGAGTCGCCCGTATAGTTGGCCCACTCGTCGTAATCCTGTCTGCTCCCTGATATCATATATCACACAATTTTAGCCTAAGCCCCTCGCGATACCAGCCCGATTATATCATCTTACCTCTGGTCGCCAGCATGTAATTGATGCTGCTGCAACCGCCCAAGACTCGACCGATCGGCAGCTTGCACTGTCGATTGTTCATACCCAGGCAGTACTCCGTCGACGGCTCGGTATAATAATCCCAGTGGGTGCTCGAGTCGAAGGCCAGCAGAGGCGCCAGTCCCGGCACGTCCATCAGCAGACGCTCGTGTCCACCGGCCTCCACGAGCAGCACCCGCGTGGCCGGCTCCTCGCTGAGACGCGAGGCCAAGGTGGCACCGGCGCTACCGGCGCCGACCACCACGTAATCGTACTGCTGGCCGTCGCGCGGCGTGCTGTCGCGCACCTCCTTGGCCGCGTACTCGGCCGACTGGCGGGCGAAGTCGAGGCCGCCGATCGCGTCGGCGACGATGTTTCCGAGGCCCGCGACGAGACGACCGAAGATGCCCGGGCTCTCGGCACCGAGAGTCGGCGCGCAAGTAAAGTACAGTAAAACGACGAGGAGGACGGTTCGCGCCATGGCGAGCGTTTCTTTTTTTCGACTGAGCCGACGACAGCCGTTGAAGGTGGATTTATCGTCTTCGGGTGTAAGGATAAACATCGGAAAGACAGTGTAGCCTTGAAACAACAGTCGACGGCTGATTCGCGCATTGTTTCTGTTCAGATAAGTATAGACACGTGAGCGAAGGAGAGATTTGAGCAGCTGTCGAACGTTGTTGCAAGATAACGCAGACTCCATCGCCGATTTCGATTGTTTACCGAACTTGTACAAATAGAAGTGGCTAATAGCGTATTGTTCGATAACAGCAGCGCTCAAGCGTAAACTGATGTAATGCGTCCTGTGTCAGTCTAAAAATACAACATTAATTCAAAGAACACACACAAGTGCTTTGACTTATATTCTAACTTTACCACTTGCAGATTTACAGACTTAAAGTTAGTCGTCATCTAGCGGTAGAGGCTTGAAGTTGTATTTATCACATATAATTTAGTAATTCTTCAACATCACACTGCTTGGGATTTGGGATAGTGTTTATCAAAACTGGACTTCGACTTATACAATTATGTTGACTTTGCCACTTGCAGATTTTTAAAAATAAAGCTACTCGCCACCTAGTGGTAGAGACTCAAAGTAGTATTTTGATCGATATTTGATCGATATTTTTAATATAGTTGGAAGAATTGTGTCAGAACACGGTCGTCAAAAACAAGTCATTTGATTGTAACGTGTTTTAATTTAATAATTAAAATTTTCGTCATTAGGCCATCGCATCGAGTATTTTCAACACAATTTCGTCAAATAAATATCGTAGCTCAGTATAAATACGACAAACGAATCACACTCGAAATGTTCGATACGTAGACGCAGCCAATCGTAGGAAAGATTCTTGAATAATTGTGCGTTTACACACGTTCGAATGAGATCGTTATCGCTGTCGATCGTGAAAAAGCAGGCCTACCCTCGCTGCCTCGTCGTTTTTTTTTTTTAAATCCTTTCGCAGTCGACTCGATGCCGTATGTTAAACGCTGATGTACGCCGATACACAGAAATTCATAGAGCTGCCGATCTGGTCGATGTACGCTCGAGATAATAATCGGCTCGCTGCGAGGAGTTATCTGCGTTACCGATAACGGATTCGCAGCTGCGTACGATGCAACTGCAGGCGCGCACTCGGCCCGACACACAGTTGCAGTTTTACATCGTCAGATAGCGCGAAATAATTAAAATACGCAACTTCAATTACTCTCTGGCGAGCTAGCGCGCGAACGATTTATAAATTACGTCACTCACCTGTGATCGTTTGTGTCCGGCGGCCGCCACCAGTTGACCGAAGTCGGCGGACTCGTCGTCGCCGCTGAGGCTCGACAGGGTCGAGCAGTCGGATATCTTGCGCTGCGGCGGTGGACAGAGCAGCTCGAGATCCGGAGCGGTCCCTGCGACCACCTCCTCCTCGTAATTAGGCCCTGCCGCGAGCGTAGGATCGCAGACTCCGTCCGGCTGGTCGCTACCGGAGTCGTTCGGGGCCAGCCTCGACGAGGTAGCTAGGCAAGAGTTGCGTCGGCCGGAGTTGACGCCAGCTGCAGCACCACCGGCTTGATGGCTGTTGCTTCTGAGCGCATTAAATTGAATTATTATTATTACTTGATTATATTTACGTATAGTGCGTTGACTCACCTGGTCCAAGTCGGACGCAGACAGCACGAGTCCGAGTGTCTTCGACGTCGGGTCGTAACACCTCTTGCCGATAGTCCAGCGGCAGTGGTGATCTCGAATCCGCTCGTATCGTCGAAGAAATCATCGTCTCGGTCGTCGTCGTCGTCGATGTTGAGATAGGAGCAGCTGCTGGCGCGCGAGCAGCCAGCTGGACCTCCATTACCACCGCCGCAGCAATCGACGCGGTCGAGCTCGCTGTCGTCGCTGCGCTCGAATCTCTCCTCCAGGTACGAGTAGTCGGAGTAATCCGACACGACGACGCTCGGGGTGCGCCAGTAGCGGCCCGCCGATCGGGGACAGCTCGACGAGGACGTCGTCGTCGGCGACGCGGCCGCTGCGGAAGCCCCGCTGCTGTCGTTCTCGCCTGCTCGTGAAAAATCGAGAAATTATAAATCGTTTGAATTCAAATGCAGTTTATCGTTGAAAATAAATTGAATTGATACTGTATTCATCGAGAAATAAGAAACTCAAATTTTCATATTCGTTACCGTAAAGCCCTTTAAATAGTCATGAAAAATGAGAAAAATGTATGTATGTTCTATGGTAAAAAATAATAGATTTTCGTTCATTTTCTCTAGACACATTAAGGCGTCGAATTGTTTCGTCGATGCGGACTAATATAAAAGGAAATTTTGCGACGCACCTTTTCCATTAGTAATTTTAATATTATCTTAAGGAATTAACGCTACAACTTTACTAATTTTTTACTATTTTAGCCTGATTTTCAAATATTTTTCTAAAGATCTGGTAAAAATAAGCTTATAAGGTTTTAGTCCATAGTAATAAACAAACACGTCCGTATATTAGACAGATATAGCACGTGCCAATAGATTTGTTTTTAAATGTCTATAGACAGCGTTGTAACAGTTTCATCATTTTTTTAAAACTCGTGAAAAAATAATATTGTTTATCACAGCTCGGCTTATGTTTTAAGTTCAAGCTTGATGATGCTCTAAAAATTTAATGATGTCTACTGCCGTTGAACAAGTTTTCAAAGAAATTATAAAGCATCATATCGATCGAAAAATTTTTATGCAAGCTTAAATTAGGTACGAAAAACTTTAATTAGTATTTTAATTTCACCGCGTTGACACAATTGTCTTGAACTAAAATGGATCTCACAATGGATCCTGATTGTGACAAAAATTTTGAAGCAGCTAAAAAAATGTGGGAAGAAAATTTTTATTGGACTGTCGTGACTATGAAGATTTCTTTTCTATACCCTCTTCAAAATAAAACGGTCCAAATATTTGGTAACCTTACGCTATGTTCAATACTGACTTTTTTAATAGTCGTCACGGTATGTACTTATAAGACTTTGCAAACTACATTAGTAATAATTACTATTCATTTAGGTGCTGAATTTCTTCAAAGAAAACGGAAATGAAGTCATAATTATAGTCGAAATAATAATTCAGTTAATCGCTGAAGTGTGCATTGCGTTTTGTTATTTATTTATGATAGGATCTAAAAAAAATGTAAATCATTTATTCCGAATCTGATTTTAATTTTGGCAATGAATAATAATGCATATTTTCTATTTCAAATAAAAATAAGATTTATAGGAGCATAATGTTAATGTCTCGAATGTGGTTTTCTAATACAGAGGAAATTCAAGAAATGATGAAGGTATGGACTAAAAAAGCATATTACTTAGCTACTTTTCAAACAGGTCAGCAATACAGTTTACCAGTTAATGTTGAATTTATTTCCATTGAGATATTCTTAAGGTCAATATTGTACTTGTAGGTGCAATACTTGTGTTACTTTTTAGTTATGGCATGTCTCCAATAAGTATTCCAACCTTTTTAACTTGGGCACTACCAGGCAATCAGACTTATGCAAAAACTCTACCTCTTCACACGGAAATGTTCGTCGATGAAGACGAATACTTTTATTACATTTTTGCTTTTCAACTTTTTTCTTTATTAACGTTTGGTTTAGTAATAAGTGCTATAAACCATTTACAATGCACTGTTATAACGGATATTGTAGTCGAAATTTGGTGTTTACAGTATGTAATAAATAGCCGGAAAAACTTTTTAAATTTAGTTTAAAAAACAAAAAACATGTCGATGAATGCAGACATTAATATTTCAGATACAGCTTTGAAAGAATGAGTGAAGCATACAACCGCCAAATGGAAATTGATGAAAAAGAAGCTAACATATGGATTTGCCAACAACTCAAGAATTTTGTTCAAACGCATCAAATTTGCATCGAGTAAGTGGAATATGGTAATGAAATTTAAAATTCATTAAAAATTTTTTACTATTAAGTTTTTATATTTCAGTCTCTATAGTATTACAAAAGAAATGAGTACGCCTCTGATGTTCGTTATTTTAATTTGTTGTGGTGGTTCTATCATTTTAACAGCTACCACGGTATGTTTGAAGTTTTTTTTATCAATTTGAATTGTTTAATTATTCGAATAATTTCATGAATATAGATGGTAATTGTGGTGGAAACAGATTTTGTAAAAGGAGTAAAAATGTTGTTTGCTTTTTGCATAACTATATGTTCTATTATTTTTATTTGTATTCCGAGTCAACTTTTAAAAATTTTTAGTGAGGATTTTTACAATACAAGGTAATTTTAAAAGTAAATCTATTAATATTTGTTAACATAATTCCAATAATTTAGTTATTGTCTTTATTTAAGTTGTAGTATGAATGGTCAAATTTATTCGTCGAAGGTACGGAAGATGTTATTATTTTTAATGATAAGAACTAAAAATCCTTTTGTACTTACTGCTGGTCCAACTATAGAATTAAATTTTGAAACCTGCAGCACTGTAAGGCATTTTTTACGGTTAAAAAAATTACTTGTCCTCGCTAAAATCTTCTATTAAATCCTATTCTACAACTAACAGCTAAATTTTTAATTTAAGATTTTAATTTATATTAATATTGATTTCAGATAATCAAATCTTCTATATCATACGCAGCAGCCTTCAGATCTCTATATAATTCACTATAATTTTTTTTCTTGTTTATCCTTTGAATGTGAAATAACTATTTTTTGTCCGATGTATTGTATACCTTAAAAATGTTATTTATACTGTCTTTCTACAAAACAATTCTTAAGCCAATCCGGACTTTAGGTATCCAACTATTGTAGTACGACGTGCAAGGGCAATGTCGACATCATAAAACTATTTCGATCTAAGCTCAGCGGTGTCTGGTGAATGCGTCATAGTTTGTCACCAATCGAAAAGGACTCGAAAATTCTAATGGTTGCCGAGAAAATCAAGAATCTTACAAATAAATACGAAAAAAGATTAAAAATCATCCAAATACCCTCGCAATGGAGCTTCGAAACGTAAATTTCAACAACTTAAGGCTGAAGAAATATAAATATTTGTGAAGAAATGTATCGTATAATTAAACTTTTCATTATCTGACTTTTCCTTTATCTAGCTCTTGAGCTATTTGATAAGAATTTTTTGTCGTTTAACAAACTTTAACACATGATTATTAGAACTATGATCTCTCCATTATTGATGAATGTATTTGATAGTTGTCTGTATCAAGACAGATTGCAAATAAACAAAATTGAAAAAAATGACTGCCTATTGATTTGGCTATTGTGGTCTGATTAAATAAAATAATGAGATAGCGAAAGTAATGTAAAAACTGATTTGGAAATACCTTATTATCATGTTCATGTAACTTTAATTTAATTATAGTATAGAACTGAGACAATAGATTTCTGGTAACTCTTCCCCTCACTTTAAGATTCTTTTTATTTTCATTTCTTGATTTGATGCATACAAAAGTTTCCGATAAATAGATTCATTTAAATGATGAACTTTTTAATAATAATTTTATTTCAGTAATGAAAAATAAATAGATGAATCAAAAAATCCACCTCGGAACTTATTCAGTATTGGAAACCTCATTTTTTTAACATAAACAAGGCGTTGAAAAAGTAGGTGGTAATGCTAGAATGTTATTTAAAATTTTTTTTATGTATATTAAATGGGGGTTTCATCAATTTTAATGAACACGCATATGGAAAAAAATAGTACTTGATATTTTTCAAGTGTAAGCTTGAGATACATTAAAAATTTAAACTCTAAGACATTATAATGCATTATATCGATTAAAAAATTTGTATATAAGCTTAAATTAGGCAAGGAAAATTTGGCTTTGTATTGGAATTTTTCCACATTGTTGTATTGTCTCACGTAAAGATGGATCCTACAGTAGATGCTGGTTTTAATGAAAATATTCAAATGGCTAAAAAAGTATGGGATGATCATTTTTGTTGGACCGTAAGGATTATGAAGATTTCTTTTCTATACCCTCTCCAAAATAAAACGGTCCAAATACTTGGTAACCTAACGCTATGTTCATTACTAATTATTTCACTAGTCGTCACGGTATGTATTTATGACACTTTTTAAACTACATTAGTAATAATCACTATGTGTTTAGGTACTGAGACTCGCCCAAGAAAAAGAAAATGGGATTAAAGGCATCACTTTAGTTGAAATAATAATTCAACTAGTTGGTGAAATATTAATGATGTTTTGTTATCTGTTTATGATAAGATCTAAAAAAAATGTAAATAATTTTTTTCAAGTTTATTTTCAATTCGAACAATAAGATATGTTTATCATTTCTATTTAAAATCAAAATAAAATATATAGGAGCGTAATATTGATGGCTCAAATGTGGTTTGATAATACAGAGGAGGTTAAAGAAATGATGACAAAACTAGCCAGAAGGGAATATTATTTTTCTACTTTTCAAACAGGTCAGCAATACATTTTACCGGTATGTTGAGCCGATTTATTCATTGAGACATTTTTTAGGGTCAATACTTCTATTAGTCTTGGCGTAGCTCCAGTGGCTATTCCAACCTTTTTAACTTGGGTTCTTCCAGGCAATCAGACTTATGAAAAAACCTTTCCTTTTCATACAGAATTTTTTGGCGATGAAAATGAATACTTTTATCATATTTTGACAGCTCAAGTTTTTGGTTTATTTATGTATGGTTTATTAATAGGTGCTATGAATCATTTCTAATGTTGTGCTGTCATGTATATTATAGTCGAAATTCGATGTTTACAGTACGCAATAATATAAAAAAAAAACTTTTTTAATTTAATTAATAAAACATTTTTTATTTTGATAAATATAGACAATTTATATTCTAGATACAATTTCAGAAGAATAAGTGAAGAATACAACTGCAAAATGGTGATTAATGTAAAAAATGCCAACATTTGGATTTACGAACAACTCAAAGATTTCGTTCATACGCATCAAGTTTGCATCGAGTGAGTTAAACTAAATACTGCAATTGAGTTGTGTTCAATGTTATATATATTGAATCCAATTCTTTTTTGACAAACGCGGTGTTTAATTGGAACTCATAAAGCTTATTGAAAATCCATTTTTTCCAATTCTGTTTCAATTTTAAATTGAGGAGCGCGCCTCGCGATTCCTCTGGCAATTAATTATACACAGAGCTAAAAGAAGTTCACCCTCGACCATTGCTATTTTATGTACAGAAATAATGTTATTACTTTAACTTTGACTCCACTTGATGTGTTGGATATTTTTATGATAAAATAATTGCCGTGATAATTCCAAGTGATACCACACATCCTAATACGATTTCTATTTCGTACGTATTTCTATTACGATATATTTCGATACATTTCTATTACGATAGAAAAAATGGACTCTTGAAGAGCTTTACCTTTATAAATTCCAAAAATCATTTGATTTAATTTTTAAATTTTAGTTTCTTTGGTATTGTACAAGAAATGAGTACCCTTTTGATGTTCGTTATTTTAACTGCTTGTTTTAGTTTGGCTATCTTGACAGCTACTGCGGTATGTTTTAAATTGTTTAATAGATTTGTATTGTTTAACCTTTTACATATTTTCATGCATGTAGATGATAATCTTAGTGGAAACAGATTTCATAGGAGCAGCTAAAATGTTGCTAGTATTTTTTATAACTATGTGTGCTATTATTTTCGTTTGTATTCCTAGTCAACTTTTAAAAATCATGAGCGAGGATTTTTGTAATGTATTACAAAGTAATTTTGAAATTACGATCATTAATTTTATTAATATAATTCAATAAGTTAGTTATTATTTCATTTAAGTTTTGGAATGAATGGTCAAATTCATTCACAGAACGTACAGAAGATGTTATTATTTACTAGTATGGCAACCCCAGTTGCAGAATGCTGAGCAAATATAAAATTTAAATTCAATATTACAACCTAGTTGCTGACAGGACTGTTGCCTTGATTTTTCATTCAGATGCATACGCAGGATTATTTCCGTTAATTATTATTAATTAATAATATAATTAACAATATAATTAATAATATATTAATTATCATTAATTAAAATTATATTATATTATTGATATTCTTATGAACAATATGCAAACGATGAAGATATGAGTAGTTATACGAATGGGTTATTTTGTGTGTTACCTCCCACTTTCCCGACTCCACTTTCACGACAACCATTTTCACGACAAGTATTCTTTCCGACGTCGATCATAAAGAATAATGACAATGAATATGTAATAACAAATTTATTAACTTAAAAAATGAAAGTATCTATCAGAGATTTATAGTGTGAGCCAATGAACGAAGATATTTCTCTGTCGAAGATAGTTTCATGCTGAGCAATCCATTTTAGTTTTGGTGCTCTTTTTATAGAGCGTCCTAATCCTAACTCTGCGATGCATATCTCCACATAGGCCTGTTATTTTTGGAACTCCCTCAGTGCACTGTACAAGTCTGGATGGTGTTTGCCGACAATTAACCCAAAGCGATTGTGCCATCCTTCACTAACGTTATTTGTTTTATGAGTCCCTGCTAGCACAGCATCATACTGATTCCATAACTGTATAGGAGAACGTGGAGGTGTAGCTTTCTTAGGACGTCTTCCTTGAACTGCTGGAATGCCAATAACATAGTATTCGGAGAAGTAATTGAAGACAGTCTTCAGTGCACTTGGAGCTTCTTTTTTAAAAGCTTTAAATGTTGGCAACACATCGTCTACGGGAACATAAGCTAGGGCCATCATCATATGTACAAAATTTGAAATACTTGTGAAAATGGTTGTCGGGAAATTTTATTCGGGAAAATGGTTTTCGTGAAATTGGATTCGGGATTTTCGATTGTCGGGAAAAATACTTGTCGTGAAAATGGTTGTCGTGAAAGCGGAGTCGGGAAAGTGGGGGGGAACCATTTTGTGAGTACGAGTGCCGGTTACGCTTGCACGAGAAGAGAACTGTTTCACGCAATTTCTGGGGAAAAAGCTTGGCACTTGCTGCATACGACATTTTATGAAATACTATGCAAAAAGTGCACAAATAACGAGCATGATATCTCACAAAATATCAGAAATTTTACCGCTTAACAGTGTCCAAAAACGCTTTTTGTGCACTAAAAAGTGTGCCCAAAAGGGGATTTTTCGCTTTACAATTGCATAATAGTTATTTATGCAATAGTATGACGAAAAATGTCTTTTTTCGCACATTTTTTAGTGCGCCAAAAGCGTTTTTGGACACTTGTGTGCGGTAAAATGCCCCATTTTGGACACGGGTGTGCGGTAAAACGCTTTATTTTAATGAACGTATTTTTCGCCTACTATTGCATAAAATTTTGTATGCAACACGTGCCCAGCTTTTTGGGCACTTGTTACATAAATAACTATTTTCGCACATTTTTTAGTGCGCAAATAGCGTTTTTGGGCACGAGTGTGCGGAAAAAGACACGAGTGTCGGCTATGCCAGCACGTTGATTTAATAATTTTCAAGGGTACTAAGAATTTTCTCTGAAACAATAACAGTTGTAGAATTGAAAAAATATTTTATTGCTTCAAAATTTTGCATATATTTCTATTTATTTGAATGATATCTCTGATTGGCCGAAAATTGGATGGTGGCCAAGCACATTCACCCTCTTTCAGATATGTTAGATGTTTTGGATGTTGATATGACCTCTGAAATCCCAGCCCTCTAAAGGTTAAATGTGTTAGATGTGTTAGCTTTTTCAATGATTTAAAAATTGGATGAGCTGAAAATTCTCTTTCAGCTCGTGCCATCATCGCTCATTTTTTTAAAAAGCCATTACTGCACCCGTTGAAAAATATAATATTTTTGTTCTGCAAATATAAATAAGCGTTGGAACATGATTAAATTGGGGTTTTTGTACAGGTATTGTAAAAATTAAATGATTTAGTATCATTTTAACCAGTCAGTACAACCCAAAAATAACGAAAATTCTCGAAGAAGTTTTTACAGGGGCCAGATCGGTGACCTGGTGCACCAGGTCGACAGAATCCGGTTCTACACTTTACAATCAGTCACTACGATCCGAAAATAACGAAAATTCTCGATGAAGGTTTCACGTGGGCCAGATCAGCGACCTGCTGCACCAGGTCGACGGAATGTGGTTTGACACTTTTTACACATTCAGCACAACCTAATAATAACGAAAATTCTCGAAGAAGTTTTCACAGGGGCCAGATCGGCGACCTGGTGCACCAGGTCGACGGAATGTGGCAATCAGACCTTCAGCTGACCGCCCTCAACCACCCTAGTAAATTTCAGACCATTTCGTAACGCCGTTTTCCAGGAACCGTTGACACAAAATAGGTTAAAAAGTACCGAGCTGAAAGGATAAGAGACTTCGCTTCGCTCAGCATTAATAATGATGAGATCGAAAAAGCCTTTCGTTCTAACTGCAGGACCAACTATAGAATTAAATTTTGAAACCTACAGCAGCGTAAGACTTTTTTTATCATTAAAAACACTATTTGTGCCCACCACCCTCTCCCAGTACTACTAACTTACTAGTGAGCGCTATCAATATTTTTAAGAATTTAATTTCAACTATTGTTTTCAGATAATCAAAACTTCTGTATCATATGCAGCAGCTTTCAGGTCTCTTTACACCGTGCTATAGCTTTTTTTTCTCTGTCTTCAACACTATTTGTATTTTATGTAGATTTTATACACGATTAAATGGAATAGAAAAATAATTTGGAAATTGCTTTTTTATTTAACAATTTATCATGCTCGAATACTTTTAACTTAAATTTAGTTATAGTATAGGAAAGAGACAACACTTGGATCTGCGGTAACGCCATTACCTTAATTTACGATTTATTTCATTTGAATTTTTTATCAATATCGTTTGATTATTTGTTCATTTAATTATTTTATTGGATGTAACATTGATGGGAGCCATTTTTATTTTGATAGATAACAAACATGGTTATACGATAAGATTGACCCAAGGTTAGTCCAAATGTTATGTTTTCAATCCAATGAAACTAGTTCGAAAATTTTTAATGCAACCACTAATTTGTTATACTGCTACAATTTTTAATGAAAAAAAATTTTTCATTTAAAAGTCGTATTTACAAAAGCAAAACATCAAATCAACAATTTTATTTATAAATTTACTATGACATTATTTTTACCATGAATAATAAATGCTAGATGGGAAGAGACCCGCGAGACCGCAGAAAATAAAATTGTAGGCGTTTACAGAATATTATAAGTTATTTACACATGTAATATGCATCTAATGGTATTGCATAAAAACGGACTTTCTAAGGTTTTAAAACTTTTCTTGGTATTAAGGGAAAACTTTGGGTTGATAAAGTTTAATTTTAACTTCAACCGAATTAAATTCAAAACAAAATACTGATTATATGATATAATTATGTCGTGGAAAGATTTATGGTATAAATATTTAGTTTTTGGGAATTGAAAAAAAAATTGAAACCAATGACAGTATTCTTTTTCAAAGATCAAAGGTAAAGTATTAAACTGAAAAAATATTAAACCTAAAAAAAAACGATAAAAAAAATAAGAAAGGAGAACCCTGAAATTTTACTTTTGGAGACTTTATGTACAATGTATATTAAATAACCAAACCAACTAAACTGGAACTTTATCTTTTTTCTTGTTGGTTGAATTTCGATTCTGCAAATCGGCAATGAGATTCAAAAACTACGAAAAACAAAAACAAACCTTTGGATTGATCGTCGTCGCTGAGTACGGCGCTGTCGCTGCTGCAGCAGCGTACGACCTTGCTCTTGGGCGACGGCTCGTCGCTGTGCTGCTGCTCGAGCAGGAGGATCATCGCCTCGTCCTCGGCCACGCTGCTGCCGCCGCTCATGGAGCTCGCGCTGGTCGCGCTCGAGTCGAAGCTCCAGCAACGCGAGCCACGGCGTTTGCCACCGCCACCCCCGCCGCCGCTGCTAGATCGCAGATCGCTGGCGTCCGACTCGATGCCCTCGTCGCTGCTCGTCAGCGGCAGCGGGCTCTTGTTGGACTGGGAGCGCGACGACTGGACCGAGAGGCGTCTCGCGCAGGAGGCGGCGGCGTCTTGCTGCTGCCGCGGGTAGCCGAACTCGTCGTAGCGCTCGGCGCTCTCCGCCTCGGTCTCCTCGTTTTTCGAGTGCATCTTCTCCGATCGGTAGAGTCGTTGTTGCAAGAAGCCAGGGAATCGTCTTCTTTTTTTCTTACCGCGGGGCTACGGCCTGTCATTTGTGGTGCGATGGCAGCGACGACGGTGGCAACTGCGTATGATGCTGCTGCACAACCGCAACCTGTGCACGTAAGAAACAATTTTTGTTATTTTTCCTCGACTCGACGATTACACCACACTACGTGGGTGTGGGTATGCATGTATTTATATCGTACATGTGCGCAGTACAATAGCCTATATATAATGCGAATCGAAACGTGAATCATAAACATGTAATACAGAATCGTGTAATGGAACTTGGCGCGCGCGTGTATGGCAGCTCGAGCCTCTCTCGATACATGTAGGTATAATGTTTTTCTCCGCAATTTGTGTGATTTATCACTGAAATATGATCGTTGAGAAAATATTTACTCTTTATAGCCTGGCGCGCGCGTTGCTAATTATTCATGACTTATAATAGCCATTCTCGGCCACCGGCAGCAGCTAGCGCACGCGAAGGAACAAACATTTCCGCGATGTTACGCCGTTTTTTTATGTCACACCGGTGCAGCAGTAGCAGCAGCAGCTGCTGCGATGTTTCTCGCAATATAATGTAAAGATCAATGTCGTCCTTTGATTAATTTATAATTAGTTTTTTGCTTTTGCTTCTGTGTTTCCCGCGGGATCGTTTCGCTACGTACTGCATCGAACGATGACGATGAAAAAAAAAGTTGTTTAATTCATTTCGATTAACAATGCTACTTGCGGTAAAGAGATCGTAAACTTATCGCTTTTTGTTCTATTATCGTCGATACAATTTGTTTTGATTATGCGAGCGTGAAAAAAATTTAATGTTAAAATGGAAACGCATCGTTATCTCCCTATCGGTCACAGACTTTTCAGAAACTGCACTATAAACGCATGAAAAAAATTGTTTTATCAAACGCCTCCTATCGATTCCGTTGAACCACGATTCCAGTAAGTATATAATGATGCTACATTATCAAGTACGGCGCAGCGACGACGTCCGGGGATCGCCGCCTATCTCCTGGAAACACTTCCTTCCGCGTGCTACGATGCACACGATACGCACTTCCGAATCGCGAATCTTATATCGTATGCAAAAAATGTCGATTCTTTCCGTTTATGGTCGCGAACAAAGAATGAATTGTATCGTACACTGCAGCAATAAATACGAGAGACGCGCGATGATGATCTCACTCGCGGAGGAAATCTGTGCGCTGCTACACGCGCGGCTTCTTCATCTTCTTCGGCTTCGGCGAAAAATTTCAAGGAAAAAATGCACTAAAATATACGAGAGAAGAAGAAGCTGTGCGCGATCGGTGCAACAATTCGCGCGTCCGCGGCAAAAGCTCGCGTATTCTCGCCATTTTCTCATAGCGATATTACGTCTCTTTTTTTTTTTCAAGAAAGAATTTGAAGCGCGCACTTAATATTCATTATATGCAGTATCAAAAAAGTCCATAAACATTTTACTTGCGTCAACGGCAGCCGTGAAATATATATATACGTATACGTGTATATATAAACAAATTCGTAGTTCGTAGGAAATAAATTACCCAAAAGCTCGTAAAAATTTTTTTGACGCAGGTGTAAAAATGAAGCCAGAGAGAGGTAGGGAGGGAGAGTAGCAAAAAATACGTGCCGGCTTGTACAGTTTTTGAAGTTAGAAGAAACTTCGCGCGCGCAGGCGAACTGCGTAAATGTCCAAAAAATTGCAGCTGCTGTGTTCATCCGCAACGTACGCATCATCTCCGAATTGATCGACGTTACGTCGAATTACGAAATGAATCGCGAGAGCCATGACGAAGACGTATATCAAAATGAAAAAGTAAAAAAAAAAAAACTTTTATGTAAATTCATGATGTAAGGATCGTCGAAGGCGGCGCGCGATTTTTGTGCGCGTGTGCCGCACGAGATGCGCGGCGCGGCTCGTCTTTTCGAGATCAAACGGACGAGAAAGAAACAACACAAAGTTATACGATAATAAAACCAAATCGACGCGGCGTGTCACAACAACAGTGAAAATAATGTATTTTCGATCGAGATCTCTGCGAAAATATTACACACGAGCTGGCGGCCCGGCCCGGAGACTATAACATCATCATCATCACAATTCGAGAAACGATGATGACTTTTGACGCGCCTCGACCCAATTCATTTTCCGGATATATTTACATATTCGTGTGTGTGCATGTGGATGCGGATAAAAACGCGCGGAAACCGATGTTTATATCTGTGTACGTGTAGACGATGCGCGAGATCGGATAAATATTTTTTGTCCTACATAAAAATGGGATTCGTGCCAAATAATAAATTGATTCGTGCACGACTATACTGCAGCACGCATTCTGCAACGCGACTCAAATTTCGGGGAAAAAACATCGTTTGACATTTTCTCTCTCTCTCTCTCCGTGTGTAAGGGTTCTAAAAAAATGTTTTTCGTGTAGTTTTCGCTCGAGAAAATGCACGCGAACGAGCTGTTGATACGACCTCGAAGCGTATCGATCCAACGCTCGTATAGCTACCCGCACGATATATCGTTTACCATCGTTCATTGCGGCAGGTGTACCGAAAAGAATCTCGCAGCTATCATCGCCATCGTCGTCTCGATGCAAATCGAGTCGATTCCGAAAGATATAAGCGTCGAACGAGCATAATAAAGAGAGATTCGCAGCTCCGCGAGAAATGTACGAGGGGGATATCGCGCGCACAAATGCGTGTTAATTCAGTGCGAATATGTGTAACGTACGTGTAATGTAGCTTCTTCTTCTTTTTTTTTGTGCTGTCGTCCTGCGAGCTCGCAAGTTTTTTAACCCGTATATACACACATATAATCGTGTATCGTAGCAGCTCTCGCGCGCGCGCGCGGTATTATAAGCCATAAGAGTAGGTATAGTGGCGCATCGAGAGAGGCAGCAGAGCGCATTGACGTCACAACGTATAGAGGCGTGCGTCAGAGTCCACATGCGAGAATTGAGAAAGACGAGTCGTCGTCGAGTGAGAGAGAGAGAAAAGAGAGCCGCTTTACGTATATATATACTGACCGGCTTTATAATGCTGCTTTTGCTGCACACGGGGGCCTACATAATCGTATGTATATGTGTGTGCGCGCGCGGCGTTTTATTCTGCTACTATATTACCTATCTCTCTCGTGCCACTATACTACGCGTCGCGCCACTATATAGTGCAGCTCGTGTGCATCGCATGAATTGCGCCGCTACTACTATATATAAAAGCACATAATCGGACCCGCAGAGTTTTAAAGGCGCGCGGCAAAAGTTCGAGAAAACATTATTATACTATGTTCGAGGTACGGAGAGAAACAGCCGCGTGACATACATCGTAATGATATTCTTATCGTTGGTAATATGAATACGCGAAGCTTTAAATGCATTTGAATCTTTTGTAAAGATGCGTAATATATACTTGGCTAATGAGCGTGTGTCATATCTGCTACTATATAGCCCTGCAGCTGAGCTAAACGACAAATTTCCATAATGACAGGTGCGGTGGGATTTCCAGCCTCTACAAAAGTTTCGATTTGCTCGTATATGACATTATACGAGTTTGAGGACGATTCGCTGCTTCAATCGCGCTATAAAATCGCTATAAGATCTAATTCATCGGTAAGTTTTCGATTGGTCGTTGTCCGGAATTTTAAATCGGTTCGAGTCGAAAAACTGCCTCGAAGTAATAAAAATCGAGTCCTGCACAATTTATTAAGTGAGCTGCAGCTAATTCGCGTTCACGAACAGATGAAATAGTTGCGGTTTGCCATATATACAACATATTGGATTTAACGTTCGCGCGAGGATTTTAATTCATAATATCAAAGCTGGCGTCGATCTAGGCCAACAAGATTTCGTCATGTACACTTATGATACTTCATAATGTAAAATAATTCATTTTTACGCGCGATAAGTGCCTCGGATTATACACGGAAGTGACAAATAGCTGTAATTGACTCGCGCGTCATCGTCGGCACAGCGAGAGAGAATAAGCTCTTTACGCACCGGCTTTTCGACGTGTACGAGTTATACGCACACACATCCTGCCCACATACAGGTTCACACGGAGGGGAATAAAAAGGTATAAATTAAAAAAAATTTGGAACGGGAGAGAGATGTGTGTATATGACGCAGGAAGCTGCGAGCGTAGATTATCGCTGCGAAATTGGTGAACGAGATATTTAACGTGCCGCTGCCGTATGTTTGTATCCTACAACATATCGTATACGAGACTACGGACTAACATTTCACGGGACGATAAGAGCTCCGATTGATTCGCAGCAGCTCCGTACGATAGACATATCGTCGCTACGTTTACGGTAAAATAAAACATGAATTCGCGCATCCTGTATGATCTCCATATTATAACCGAGCGAGAAGTGCGTCAAAAAACTTCGGAGCAACAACGACGCGTATTATATTCGCTATAGGCGATACATGTGCGTACGTATGACAGAAGGAAAGATAAAAAAAGGAATAAAAGAGAGGGCATAGTGAAAAACAAAAAAAAAAGGCACAGACGGCAATGAATTGAAAAACGAGCGTATGTGCGTCCGCGTCTGTCTGCGTATATATATACGACTTATAACGCGCGCCGCGCGAATCGGGTCAATGTCGAGTACCGTCGGCTGTGTTCTCTCTCTTTCTCACTAACAGAGCATTTCGCTCGCGAGAGAGGCCGCGAGGCAGCAGCGCATTATATACCTGCGTTATACGTATGTCCTGCATACATCACGGCGGATATACAGATGTATACGGCACATTTTAATTTTACGAATGCGCGACCATGCGATGTAATTACGATATCCTTACGCGCGCGCGCGCGTTCATCCGGCTCTTCCGCCGCCGCGATGCGCGATGCGGAAAATCCAAGCTGCTTCTCCGCTTCCCCGATACGACGACGATGGAGATCAATGGAAACGACTGTATTCTATATTTGTGACTCGTTGTGCACGCGGGAAACACAATCGTGTGTGTGTGCGTGTGTAACTTCTAATAATAAAAAATATATAGAGGCATCGATCGATCGATCGATCGATCGATCGTCGAGCAGCAAAGCTGTCCAAATAAACCGATCGGCACGCGCGCGCCAATGTAACGCGCGTTATATACAGGTACACAACGTAATAATTGTGACAGCTGCGCGACGCGAAGCGATCGAAGGACGCGATTATTGAGCTCTCTCTCTAATCGCCGTCTAATCGCACACGTGCGGGTAAATATTTTGCGCGATTGATCGGCCACGATCGATTACGCGGGCTTTTCGTCTATCTATACACTTGTGCGTATCTGTCACAGGATATCGTTGCGAGAATATAATGCTATGGTTAATTTTGCCCAGTTTACACGGGTTATTGCGTAGCTTATTTTATCGTGCACGCGCGAACGATCCGTCATAATATTGCGCGTCTAATTGTGTGTCAACAACAACAAAAAAATCAAAATACTGCGATGTCGGTGTCCGTCGGGTTCGTTTATCTAAACTCGTGGCGAGATCCGAATCGGAAAACAAATCGGGGTCGGTGCTCTCCCATCCTTATCGTTCGCATCTGTTTTCCTTGCTGTACAGATACTCGATCGACAATTACAATACACCGAGTGCACTGCGACTTTTTTCATGTAAATACAAATACAGCTGCGTGCAACGTCACTCGTGCAGCCAACATCTACATATAGATGTAAATCTCGAGCGAGCAGACGGCATTTCTTTCCGCGTTTGTTATGGTAAATATCGCGCGCTGTATAGCGCGTTGCTAGCCTAATGTTTGTATTCATGCCTAGACGCGCATTACATTATATTATAGACGCACGCGTGCACGTATAATGTGAGTTTATACTACATTACCTCGATAAAGAGTGCGCAGATAGACCGACTGACATCCATCTCGCGCGACTCGTTGACGGCAGAAAAAGGAGATCGCGCGGATAGCAATGAGAAATCTATCTCAGCGATGCGCTATACTGCCACATAGAAGACGAACTTTTCAAGCCCTTTCCACATCTCTTTCTTCGATCATGCGGCAAAGCGAGAAAAATGATACCGATGCGTATCGAACTCTATATCTCTTGTAGGGCCTCGGTGTATCGAGGGTGGCACGATGACCGCACAGAACGTATACACACGATAATGATTCGCGCTGCGCACAATATTCACCCGCGTGTTGCACTACTTGGTAATAATAATCAATAATGATGATTTACAACGAGGCGGCGATGTGATCGACCGAACGACGAGCCACCGACTGATCGTCCCGCGCGCGGCGCACCGTACCAAGTGTGCGAATACATATATACACACATCGACACGGATAGTGGTATATAGAGTATAATAGGCGAGCGGGAGGTTACCCAAAAAACAGGGTTGACCGACCACGGAGAGGGGAGTGGCTAAACGACATGATTCCTTACGTATTTTTCGTCGCTGAATCCGAATATGAAATTTATTTTACTCTAAAATTTCAGCGTCATGGAGAAAAACGCGATTTTCATGAAAATCGCGGTATAATGAATTTCTCATTTTTTCGAGTTCAACTCGCTGTAACTTTTTTTGTAGTAAATATTTTTTGATGAAATTTTAACAGCATATTCTAGCACTCAAAAGGAAGAAAATAGCGTCAAGCAGGTGTCGAAAAGTTTATTAGAACCGAAGATATGATTTTTTGAACATAAAAAACGCGAATTCATGAATTCTTAACTTCGGATTAAAAAGTTGAGTGACGAAATTTCGAAATTCAAAATATAAACTTCACAGCACTAAAATATATAGTATAAGGAAGTTTTTGGTAAAATTTGAGATCAAAATATCAATTAGGGAAGAAATGGCAAGAGTTTCAATATTAGCGCACCGAGCGCGCGCTCGCCGCGCGTGCAGCGCAGCAGCCGCCTCGCCGGCTAGCGTTGCGCGTTGGCCCGTGTAATGGTGCATACAGTTTAATAATTAATATATGAAATCCATTTAATTGTTTTTATTGAACATATGGTCAAATCTCAAAATAAAATTCCGTTTCGTTAACAAAAAAAGGTGAAATTTTTTTTTGCGTGCCCAGTGGCCCGGACCCCCGCAAATTCTTCATAGGACCTCCAGGAGTGAAAAAAAACGCGTGAACATGAAATTTGTAAATAGTTAGTTTTTTTTGGGTCACTTTTGTGTTTTAGATGCCGAAAAGCCATCTTTTCACGCAAATACGACTTATTGCTCGATTTCCAAGTCGTTGAAAAAGTATAAAAAATCATCTAAAAATTTTAACTGACCACTGTATTCGATAGGAAATTTCCTCAGCTTTCTCATGGTGCAGTTGGATTTTCCGATTAATTTCATTTTCCCAAGGAAAAATCAAAAATAAGCCATAGAAAGCACTTTTTCCGTACTACATTTTTCGACATATTTAGCCCTCAATGTTTGATGGCGATTTTCGTGGTGAAATTTGGATATTTCGGAAAATCAAATAGTACCATCGGAAAGCTGAGGAAATTTCCTATCGAATACAGTGGTCAGTTAAAATTTTTAGATGATTTTTTATACTTTTTCAACGACTTGGAAATCGAGCAATAAGTCGTATTTGCGTGAAAAGATGGCTTTTCGGCATCTAAAACACAAAAGTGACCCAAAAAAAACTAACTATTTACAAATTTCATGTTCACGCGTTTTTTTTCACTCCTGGAGGTCCTATGAAGAATTTGCGGGGGTCCGGGCCACTGGGCACGCAAAAAAAAATTTCACCTTTTTTTGTTAACGAAACGGAATTTTATTTTGAGATTTGACCATATGTTCAATAAAAACAATTAAATGGATTTCATATATTAATTATTAAACTGTATGCACCATTACACGGGCCAACGCGCAACGCTAGCCGGCGAGGCGGCTGCTGCGCTGCACGCGCGGCGAGCGCGCGCTCGGTGCGCTAATATTGAAACTCTTGCCATTTCTTCCCTAATTGATATTTTGATCTCAAATTTTACCAAAAACTTCCTTATACTATATATTTTAGTGCTGTGAAGTTTATATTTTGAATTTCGAAATTTCGTCACTCAACTTTTTAATCCGAAGTTAAGAATTCATGAATTCGCGTTTTTTATGTTCAAAAAATCATATCTTCGGTTCTAATAAACTTTTCGACACCTGCTTGACGCTATTTTCTTCCTTTTGAGTGCTAGAATATGCTGTTAAAATTTCATCAAAAAATATTTACTACAAAAAAAGTTACAGCGAGTTGAACTCGAAAAAATGAGAAATTCATTATACCGCGATTTTCATGAAAATCGCGTTTTTCTCCATGACGCTGAAATTTTAGAGTAAAATAAATTTCATATTCGGATTCAGCGACGAAAAATACGTAAGGAATCATGTCGTTTAGCCACTCCCCTCTCCGTGGTCGGTATGTCCCCTTTCTAAGCGACTTTTTGGCAACCTCCCGCTCGCCTATAAGTAGTGCGATACTCCCGCGAGAGGCTCCCGAGCGTCGTGCGAGTGACTTGACTGCGAGAGAGAGAGCTACGATTCTGCAGCGATACACTGCTACCGCTGCCGCTGTTGGTGTGTATATGATATTCAGTGCGCACACACACACACACACACACACACACACTCGCCCGGCACGCGTATTATACGACGATGCGCTTCCGTTTGATTCTGCAACGAGTCGAGAAGTGTGAATACCTATAACGCTTTTGATCTAGGTTCGTCGACATTTCGAATTTCGATTACAGTTGGTGCTAACTCGAGATCGAGACTTTACAAAACGATGTCCAGTGATACGGTCAACTGTGCTGCCAAGTATAATTGTGCATATATTAAAATAACGAGATGAGTAAATTTTTATGCTTTTAAATTTGATCGATATTTTCAGAGTAAAAAGGGAACCTTTTGATATGGGTTATGACGAAATCGATGATGGTGAAACGTTGAATCAAGCGTTCGATACTGAAGATTTGCAATACCATAGATGTCGACAAAAGAATAGCGTAAGTTGATTGGTGATTGTAATTGATTGAATTTTCATTATTAAACTGAATTTTCATAAGACTTGAATTTTATACCAGATTGATGTGCTAGAAAAAATCAATGGAATTCGTCAATTTCAACCGGACCCCAAAATTAAAATAAAGTATGAGTGCAGAGATGTGAAACCGAACGTGAATTTATCAGTAGTTTATAAGAGTAAATAAAGAAATTCAAGAATTTCAACCCAATCATGAAGTTAAAATAGAGTTTGAGTGCAAAGATGCAACGCCCACTGCGAATTCAGTAATACCCAAAAAAGTGAATCATTGGTCTCATGGATCTCATCAGTATCAAGATAAAAAAATTAGCAATAATTTTGAATTCATTTCCTCTATTGAAACAGATACTCAGACTAGAGTAAAGAAAAAATTTTTTGGTGATACTAAAAATACTGACCATGTGAAAATTGTCTGCAAATTCAATAGAAAAAATATGAAAATCTACTCCAAAGCAAATAAAGGTAAACAATCGATTGAATGTAAGAATCATTTGCAAAAGTTTTCTCCAAAAAAAAATCTGAAAACTCATACTGATTCTATTCATAAGAGTATTATTTACTCATGCGATATTTGTGCAAAGTCATTTTCACTGAAAGGAAATCTCAAAGTCCATATTGAATCTGTGCATAACTGTATTACTTATCCTTGTTCAATTTGTGAAAAAAAATTTTCACAAAAGGGATACCTCAAAATCCATATTGATTCAGTGCATAATGGTTTAAAATCATTCGAATGTGATATATGCCAAAAGAAATTCACGCAAAAGGGTGCTTTGAAAACCCACATCAATTCAGTGCATCATCATATTACTTATTCATGTGAAATTTGTGGAAAAAATTTTTCACAAAAGGGTGCTTTGAAAACCCATGTCGATACAGTGCATAATCGTATTACTTATCCATGTGAAATTTGTAGAAAAACTTTTTCACAAAAGGGTGCTTTGAAAACCCATATCAATATAGTGCATAATCGTATTACTTATCCATGTGAAATTTGTGGAAAATCATTTTCATTGAACTGGTATCTAAAATTGCACATTGATTCAGTGCATAATGGATTAAATTTATTCGAATGTGATGAATGCAAAAAGAAATTCACACAAAAGGGTGCTTTGAAAACCCACATTGATTCAGTGCATCATCGTATTACTCATCCATGTGAAATTTGTAGAAAAACTTTTTCACAAAAGGGTGCTTTGAAAACCCATATCAATACAGTGCATAATCATATTACTTATCCATGTGAAATTTGTGGAAAATCATTTTCATTGAACTGGTATCTAAAATTGCACATTAATTCAGTGCATAATGGATTAAAATTATTCGAATGTGATGAATGCAAAAAGAAATTCACACAAAAGGGTGCTCTGAAAACCCACATTGATTCTGTGCATAATCGTATTACTTATCCATGTGGAATTTGTGGAAAATCATTTTCATTGAACTGGTATCTAAAATTGCACATTGATTCAGTGCATAATGGTTTAAAACCTTTCAAATGTAATAAATGCAAAAAGAAATTCACACAAAAGGGTGCTTTGAAAACCCACATTGATTCGGTGCATAATCGTATTAATTATCCATGTCAAAGTTGCGGAAAGACATTTTCACAAAAAGGTGGTCTCAAAGTCCATATTTATTCAGTGCTTAATAGAGAAAAACCTTACAAATGTGATCTGTGCAAAAAGACATTTTTACAAAAAGGCAATCTCAAAGCTCATATTTATTCAGGGCATGATTGTATTTAACATCTATATGTCATTTGAGAAGAATTACTCAAAAGAAAACCTTCCCTTAAGTTGCACATTGATTCTGCACAAAATGAACGAAGACCTTACATCTGTGATTATACAAAAAAGCTTTCACACAAAAATGTTTTCTATAAAAAACCCGCATTGATTCAGTGCATAATTGTATCACTTGACAAGAGTTCTGGGAGATTTGTAAAAAGTTATTGTGAAGGAAAATTGATATAATGTTTCATTTTGATTTGGCGCATGGAAGAATAAACATCATGTGATCAAAACGTAACTTGATGAATAAGTCTCAAGTATACTAAAACATTTCAAAACATAATGTACATTAGAATCAATTGTTAATAAATAATAATAAATAATAATAATTCTAAATTTTGAAGTGAATTTTGAAATATATATTATTCATTTAATTGAAGGTATTTATTGACTCTTTCAAAGTTGCACTACAAAAATGCCTGTTGGCCGTCATCGAA